TGATGCCTATAGTCAAGAGGATAAAAACAATGTGAAATTCATTTTAACAGCATGCAATAGGTAGTTGATAATGTAAAGGAAAATAATATTTCTAAAGGAAAGATAACTATGTCACTTTATAGGCCAGCTTACTTAAACAGCTAGTAGTTGTCATGCTGTCATACTCTCAAGTGAGATCCTCTGAGCAAACACACAGCCCTCAACAAACAACAAAAGGACCATGCTACTCGGAGTAAACAGAATGGATGGCCATGAAGAAAATTTACGACAGGATATACAGTCTCCCCAGTGCGGAAGAGTCCAGTATTGTATGCACACCTGCACTGATCGACCTTGAAACTGTGGGACCAGAATGACTCCATTTTGTCCAAAATGGAGCAGTCTCCTTTGTTCTCTCAAATTTGTGCTTGATCTGGGACAAAAGACATGATCTGTAACTCAAGATTCCTAAACTCATTACTCAGCCATCTGTTTGCCCTAGAAACAAGTGTCCCGGGCCCACTATCTATAGGACAATCTGTTAACGTGCTGACTATCCACACAAGGTGGTCATGACCATGAGTCAAGATGTCTGCTGACCATCAGTACGTGACAGTAGACCACTAACCTTTGTCCCCATTTTTCTTGTAAAAACCTATACGTAATCGCCTTCAACCCCCAATGAGCCTAGCCAATCAAAATTCTACACTTCATACTTGCTAAATGTTAACCAATCATATGGCTGCTAATGACTGAAGCTTGCTGTAATCTCAATAAAAACCCTGCTAATTTGGAACTCGGGGCTCTCAATCTTGATCTGCTGTGTCGGTGACAATTGAGAGTCCCTGCTTAAGCTTGAATAAATGACCCTCTTGTGCTTACATCGGAAACGGCCTCCTGGTGGTCTTTGGGACTTCGTAATCTGGGCACAACAAAACTTTGACCTCAACATTCCATCCCAGATTCCTTAGGATTATAACCCCGTCTCCACACCCTATAAGAACTTTGCTTCTTCTCCAACCAGTGGCTAAAATCATTCAGAATCTCAGCCCTGTCCACACCCAGACAGAAATAGATCCAGCCTTTTTCTCACATAGAACCGTTGTGTGCGAGTAGTCTCTCGTGCCATTTGTAACAGTAGTAAAAAAAGAAAAAGTGTGCAGGGATGTAATTCAGGACTGTTCTGGACTCTGTTAGTCTTGTTCCTTAGTTATTTTAAATCATTTAATATAATGGAGGCTCAGAGGTAAATGGTAAATGGCTTACATAGCATATGCAAGGCCCTGGGTTCAAGACCCTGGGTTCAATCCCCAGCACTAACCAGGGAAAAATATCAGTGTAATGGAGAAATGCTCTATCCTAAAGTGTTTAAAACACCTGCACAAGATTCACTGTTTTTGAGAAAGGCTGTTTTTAAAGCCTCACTTCCTCATTTTTTTTTTCTGATTCATTTCCTGCCTCTTTCATCTTGGTATTTATAGGGGAGGTGATAATGTTCCTCTCACAAAATGTATCATTCCAGACAAAAAGCAAAGGCCTCTGTTTACCTTCAACCAGAGGCCCATTTCAGTGGGTCACCCGGAAGGAAGCAGAAGAGATTTGTTCACCAGGGCCCTTAGCTCGGGCCTGTTTTTTTCGGCGTGGCTTCAGACCTATATTTTCCTGTAGCTTTGGACAGGCTGTGCCTCCACCACCAGGGCTGTACAAGCAAGGGTCAAGTGATGGGATTTGAAAGCAGTCTGTAACCCTTAGCGCATTGCTAACATGAAGGGCACTGCTGCTAAATACCAGCCAGCATGAGGAGACTTCTCTTCTCCTACCGCCTCCCCGCTTCTTTTTCCTTTCCCACTTCCTCCTTCCCCCTGCCAACAATGCATCACTGAGAATAAGGGTCGAGGAGCTGCATTGTTAAAAGAAAAAAAAAAAAAAAAAAGTGAGTCAAAATGAGTTACATTCAAACTGTGGAGAAAAGTTCAGAGCCAAATTTCAGAAAGATTCTGTCTTTTGTATTCACTTATTGCTTCATGTTTTCTCATACGCCAAAGTGTTGACACTTGAGTCATTCTTCCACTTCTTAAAAAAAGAAAGCAACCACTGGCTCCTGTCATTTGCCCCAGATACCACCGGAAATGGCATCATCTCCCCAGACTCAGCACCACCCAGGGGTGAACACATTTACCCTGGATCCCAGCCCCTGAGCGGCTCAGGACCTCAACGGAGAAGGGACTCTATCTAGGGAAGAGATCTAGCGCCAACTGAAAGACACATTTTAAAATCACCAGTTACTTCAATGGGTAAGTACTTTCCAGTTTTCCCATTTTCTTTTAAGCATTAATTTTGGATTTCTGACCTTTTTCGGAATCCTCATTTTGTGGGCTCTTTAGGTAGAATCACTGTCCATACCCACTCCAGCCCTCCCTAATTTACAGCCCTAGAGTCAGCTGTTCCTTGGTAATAATAAAGTATTAATGGTTGATAAACTACTAAATTTCTAAAAACAGTCAGTGCAGAAAACAGCCAATTAAATTTTTAAAAAGCAGCCAATTTAGTTTTGAACTGGAGGAAGGATGGGAAGTGTCTGTTGTCTGTTGTGTTGTGGTTGACCTCAAAGGCTTGGCATTGGATTTGACTTCCAGGTGACCTTGGGAAGATTACTACTGCAGTTCAATTTTGCAGTGTGCAAAATGGAGAAAAATAAAGTACCCATTTCTTAGGGTCCTTTTTCATTTTTTTGAGACAGGGTCTCGTGCATTCCAGGCTGGCCTCAAACTCTGCCGTCCTCCTGCCTCGGCTACTGAGTGCTGAGTTACAGGTTTTCTTAGGGTTCTTAAGAGGAATAAATAAATTAGCAAGTAAAGCACTTAAATACTGTTGGAAGACAAACTAAATGCTCCTACTGCATTAGTGTTGCTAAATACTCAGTTAAATATTTCATTTCACTGGAAAGCTCCCTTTACCACCACACCCACCTTGCATTATTAGGTGAGTCTGAACAGGAGCAGTGAACATGTGTGGAGTTTGCAGTGTTTCATTTGATTTCTACGGCTCATGCCAAAGCATCCCGTCCTGAGCTGTGGACTTGTCTTTGGGACCTGGAGGACAAGGAGAGGCCAAGAGCTTGCTGGACATGGCCACAGAGGGGCTGGCTGAAGTCCTCTCCTGGCATGGCAGGGTGGGAGCCAAGGCCTGGGGAAGTCTGTGTGCGCAGGAGTTAGGATGTTTGCTTTTTTCAGCCTCCTCACCCCGACTCTTCTTCCTTCTGTTGGGAAGCACAAAGCATGAAACCCAGCCAGTACTTAGTACCACCACCCACAGGGCAAACCCAGGGCTTCTACATCTCCTGCGGAATAGCGTGGGTTGGGGTCCAAGCAGATGGAGAGGGCCCTTGGAATCCTTGTTTTGGTGTTGGGGATCAAACCCAGGGCTTCCACATGCTAAGCGTGTACTCTGCCACTCAGCTACACTCTCAGCCCCTAGGACCCCATTTTTAAGTTCAAAACGTTTCTTCCATAGAAACATCATTGCTCATTGGATTCAGATAGTACAGTATTGAGACCAACACCACCAGAATAACTAATACCCGTGTGAAAATCTGTTTTGTGTAATCTCCGTGAAGCACAGGGGCGAGTTGTCCCATTTAAAGGAACACAGAGATAAGTGAGCAGGGAGGTGGCAGAAATCCAGCCTGCTGACTCAGCCTTGTGTCCCTGCCACAGATTAAGTGGATCTTTGTGGCCAGACCTGGAGACAGTCTTCAGAAGCGAACCTGACGACTGGTGAAAAGCAACCAGTGACCGTTGGCTCCCCAGTCACCCTTCTTCACCCACTGGTGAGAATCTCAAGCAGTCACCCCGAGAGTAAAACATCTTGAAGCACACTTACAGCTTCAGTGCAGCGCAGGGTTTTTCACCGACAATCCAAGTAATGAAAACCGCACTAATGCTTTGTTCCTCATGGAAAAATTAAAAGCAACACACAAAACACAACTGTTTTTCTTCATGTCTTTTTTTTTTTTTTTTGACAGTACTGGGGATTGAGCCCAAGCCCTTTGTACTGAGCTACATCCTCAGCTCTTTTTATTTTTTATTTTGAGACAGGATCTCAGTAAATCCCTCAAACTTGTGATTCTCCTGCCTCAGCCTCCCAGAGCGTTGTTGGGATTACAGGCGTGTGCCACCACACTATCTATAACTGTTTTTCAAGCAAGAATAGTAAGGGAAAAAATGCAAATATTTCTTTCTGCATAAGATTACTTTTAGCTGGGTGTGGTAGTGCATGCCTCTAATCCCAGCATTTAGGAGGCTGAGGGAGGAGGATTGTCACAAGTTTGAGACCAGCCTGGACTACAGTGAGACCTTGTCTCCAAAAACAGGGTTATTTTTCCTCCTAATTTCAAATTTACAGCTGAGGTTAGAAGCTTAGCTGCTGGAGCCATATTTCCTCCTATAGAAACAAAGCAAACTTTAAGCTTATCTGATCAATCCAAAGATTTACTTGTTGACCTTTTTGGACATTGACAAGCTGGGCAACCACAAGCAGTTCACATAATCGCTCCCTGCCTCAATTTACTCATCTATAAAATGGAGGTAACAGTAGTCCTGCCCTGCTAGGTTATGAGGACTGAAAAGCTGCACAAAGTCGGTACTCCAAGAATGCTATTACCAGGCACACGCTGGTGAGGGGTACAAGGATGAGTGGACTCACTTCTGCCATCAGAGTAGGGCCTGCTGGGATGGAAGAGCGCTGTGTGCTAATTACAGTACAAAACAAAAGCAAGTGTTACATCATCAGGGGAAGGATTTTTTTTCCTGTCTCCATACTAGGAAAGCTTACCTGAAAGAACTGCCTTTTAAAAAGTGGGTGTTGGGGCCAGGGATGTTGCTCAGTGGCCCTGTTGCCTGCCTTGCAAGCGCAAAGTCCTAAATTTGAACCCCTGTACAACACACACACAAAAAAGTGGGTGTAGCCAGGTGTGGTGGTGCACACCTATAATCTCAGCAATCCAGAGGCTGAGGCAGGAGGATTGCCATGAGTTCCAGGCCAGCCTGAACTACATAGCAAGACCTTGTGTCAAAAACAACAAAAAAGTGGGTCTTGGCTGAAGGAGTCCGACCACTGCCACCCTAGGCTGACCAGAGGCCGCTTTAAGCCTTGTCCTTTCCACTGCGCTTCTACACCTGCACACCTGCTAAAGATGTAACATCGTGGGTTAGTAAGGCCCAGTCGGCACAGCTGCACCCTGTGACTCCACCAGTCTTGCGCCCTGCTCCTGGCAGACAACCACCACACCCTGCATTTCTCAACACTGAGCTCCAGAAGCTAGCCACAACTCCTTTTCTCTCAACGCTTCCCCTCACAGCCCCATTTTGACCTTCTCTTCCACAGCTCTCCCACCCCCATTTTTTTATGCTCAGGACCCTATAAAAAACCTCATATCCTGTGCTCAGGCCCTGGATCTAGTCCCATTGCTAGGGTGGTCCCTCTCAGTTTTGTTCTGAAATAATCCTGTCCTATTGAGCTCATACTTCTGTTTTCCTCCTTTTGTCCTATATTGGCCAAGGCACTGCTGAAATCACATGCCTATAATCCCAGGTACTTAGCAGGCTGAGGCTGGAGGATCACAAGTTTAAGGCCAGTTAATGAGCAAGTTAGTGAGCAAGTTATGAGACCCTATATCTAAATAAAATAAAAAGAGCTAGGGATGTAGCTTAGTGGTAGAGCATCCCTCGGTTTAGTCCTCAGTACCAGGGGAGATTTAAAAAGTGGGAATTAAGGAACAGAACTTCAGTAAGAGAAAGGGACAGAAAGATGAGGGGAAAAACCTCTAGGTTCATACAAACGCTGTAGAGTAGTGATGGTGAACCTTTTACGGACAAGTGCCAAACTTAAACCTGAATACTGAGCTTTTGGTTTAGAAAAAGAACTCATACATTCACATCTTTTCCCTTAAAAGAAGAACAACACTCATGCCATAGGTTCACCACCAGTACTATACAGGCATCCATATCCATAGACTTGGAGATGAAAAATCATCTTGTGTTTTAAAAGCCTATAGAATGTCAAATGAATACAAAATTTTAAAACCGACACAATAAAGTTTTATGTGAGAAAACATAAGATTAAAACTATGACATTTCAGCTTTTGTCTCTCCTTTGTTTAGAGACAGCCAGGCAGATGGTCCCTGCAATAAAGGCTTGTTGTGGTCTGGTATGGTCTTGGTTATAGGCTCTTTTACCTGACACTATAAACCCATTGATATAAGAAGCATAGCAAGCCCCAAGCAGAAGGAACAGGAAAAAACTATCAAAGGGAGTTCACAATCCAGGAGCTCAAATCAGTAATAAAAAAAAAAGACTTAAAAGCACTGAGAAAAACATACAACAAACATAGGAGGACAAAGATATGGATAGTAGTGGCTTACTCATCAGAGAAAAATGGAGCAACAATAGAATGACACTGAAAGGGGAAAAAAGCAATCAATAATTCAATTCCCAATAAACATTATTAAAAAAAAACAAAACTATGACATTTCAGATTTTTTTTTTTTTTTTTTTGAGATGGGGTCTTGGCCTGGAGCCCTCCATCTTCCTCACTCAACAGAAGTAATTGGGATGCCAGGCGCGTGCCACCACTCCTGGTTTGGAAACATTGTTTTAGTCCAAGTAAGGCAAATTTTTTAAGGATTAAGATAAATTTATGGAAGATTTTTTAAATTAACCATGTGATCTAAAACAAATGAAGCTGAACATTGTGCTCATCTCAAAATAAACTGCAATATTCACATTCCAAAAGTGTATTTTTAAAATACATACATATATACAGATTTTAATACAATCATCAAGAAACGGTTGAACTAATCTATATTCTGCCAATTGTTGAAGGATTCTGATTTATCAGATAGAGTGGAAACAACATGAAAAATAAAAATGACTCAAGCATTTCAAAAGCAGTTTATTTCCACTCAGTTAAATATCTCCAGCCTCTGTTCCAAACAAAATTAAAAAGCAACTCTCCAAAAGCCCACTGTGACAATATGCTGCTTGAACTCCCATTGATAATCAATATTTACCTTTAGGAAGAAGTTCAGAGGTTGAAAGAATTATCTTAGGAATTCAGCCACCATTGGAAGGGAGGATCAAGGAGTGTCTATAGAGAATTTGAAGTTTTAGAGGCCCACAAAGATTGTTTCTCCCCACTCCCCACCCCCAAAGAACCTGAATAAGTCTGAACTCAGCAGACAGACCTGGGCCAGAGGAAAAGATAATGGCTGAGTTCATTGAGCACTTCAAAAATGGGGTGGCATCATGTGAATGACTTTACAAAATTCATTCATTTAACCCTCACTTGTTAAGAAGTCCATAGTAATTTTCTGCTTGTTCTGTTGCCAGGTCTCTGGGGCAGGGCAGCTACTTTATCAGCCCAGGTTCTCTGAGGCTAGGTAGCAGCAGAGCAAGAGATCCAGCCCTAGGGTCTGGCCCCAGGGCCACCACTCTGGGACTGTGCCTTAGGCCTCAATTCTGAGTCAACTGCATACAAAGGGTACTGATAAGGCGAAGGACCCGTCTTTAGCCAAACTGGAGCTCTTGAGGGCAGAGGTGTGCAATGAATAGTTATCCTGGGAAAACAGGCCTAAACCAGAACAGCTTGGGACAAATAGGGACAGAGATATGATCCTCTTCCACCCTGAAGCCCTGTGAGTGGAAGAACACACCCGCTAAGAATCTGAGGAAGAGAAGAAAGGGCCTGACGAGTGGGCTGTGATAAAGACCATTTGGGGAGTTTCCAGAGACAGATAAATCCGCCCAGGATCCTGGGGAAGGGAAGGACACGGTGTCCGAGGCTTCGGGGAAGTTTTTCAGAGGTAGCTGTGAACAGCAGCCCAGGAGCTGGGAAGGACCAGAAAGTGGTGGAAAGGAGCAAGAAGGAAATCAGTGGTGACTTACACACCAACAGCCTCGCTCGTGGTGCGCCTCAAGCCAAGCTGAAGAAGGGAGTGGGAGGTGAGCACCGGGACGCAGCCTGGGGAAACCGCTTTAAACCTGTGTCCTTGAAATGGAGGCAAAAGATAGGACTGTCCTGGAGGTGGAGTCAAAGAAATTTCCTTTCCTTTCTTTTTTAAAGCAGGACTTTAGAATGTCTTTAATGCTGAAAGCAAGGAGCCCACCTAAGGAGGAGAGAGAAAATGCAGAATGGGTTACTGTTCCCTCCCTGGGCTTTTGTCCTGGAGCCTGGTGCCTGAAGATGTGAGAGCCCATGAGACCTGCAGGGGTGCGGGGGGATTCACTTCCCACCTTCTGAGGTGCAGCTCTGCCCGGGTGGGAAGGGGGCCGTGGGGCCAGCGGCTGAGCAGGGCCTCAGCCCTCGGAGGAGCGAGGGTCCGGCTGTGGGCTTGTGCTTTCTCTAGCGTGGAGATGGCTTGCTGTGCCTGGGGTTTTATTAATGGGGACTAGTGTCTGGCAGGCCCTGCCCTAAGCCCTTGATGTGTACAAGGACTTTTTTCATCTTCCTTTATTATTCAGTGAGGGAGGTGAACAGAAAACAGTGATTCAGGACCCTGGCACCCAGCTGAAATTCAGTCTGGTTTTATTAGCTCTTGGATGTAGAAGCCAGGTTACCGGCTTCTGGTATCTTTTATTCCTGTTAGAAGGGTAATAGGAAGTTAGCAAATTGGAGTTTATGGCTCAAGATAGTAATGTAAAAAGTTTGCCATGATTGAAATCAAATTTGTATATGATTGAAATCAAATTTTTTAATTGTTGCTTTGAGTATTTACTTTAAGGGATCCATTTGTAAAACAAGTTTGTTTTGCCTTTTTTTTTTTTTTTTACTGAAACAATAAATGGTCCGTAGTGTATCTTTTTTTTTTTTTTTTTGTAAAAAGTACCAGCATGTCACACACTGTGAACTTGCACTTCATTCATAAGGAAGCTCCTTAGGTTTCTTCACAGCCCACAGGAAGCATAAATGTTATACTGTGGAGAAGAACACACTGCTTTAAGAGTTTTTTAGCTTAATAATTTTCAAGTTTAAAGTGTTTGAATTATTTTCAATGATATTTATTGCGGAAGAATTACAAATTTAAGATTGTGACATGCTGGGATGATACAACTACAAATTCATTTTGTCCACTGCGATTCCTGTCTCCACAAAGTAACCTGGTGATTACATAGAGTCCAGCTTGAGGGTACTTACTGTGGTTTTAATTTTTCATTTACATTGCCTGTATCTTTGTTGAAGGCCTACCTAATAACCAAGTCAGAATTTCAGGCCATAAGGTGGGGTTTCATGATGCGGGGACTGGCTAGAAGACTCGGGGACTGGCTAGAAGACTCGAGATAGTTGTCGGAGCGGGGCAAATTTAAAGAATGATAGCTGTCTCAGCCTGCAGTAGACAGGTTTTCTAAATTTGTACTGAATAGCTGCGGAGCTGAGGCCTAAGAGTTGAGGAAGTTGGAGTTGGGGATTCAGTTGATTTTTCCAGTGGCTACTTGGCAATTGCTTCTCTGTTGCATCATTTAACATAGTATCTTCACGGTACTTTGTATATTTTTTATTTGCTCCTAAAACCACCTTTTTAAAGATAGTAGACCTGTGTTATTTTCCCCCTGCTTTGGTGTTTTGTGGAGGAATCTATGTTAATTGACTTTCAAGAAAGATGCCTCTGCAGAGAAGCCTGAGGTCATAAGGTCTTTGAACTTTCCTAAAGAGGAAAACTCTTTTTTTTCCTTTTTTCTTTTAAAACTTTTAAGTGGCTGGGTGAGGTGGCACACACCTGTCAGTAATCCCATCACTTTATAGAGGCTGAGGCTGCATTTCCCTGAGCTCCAAGCCAGCCTTGGCTACACAGCATGCAGAGCAAGATCCTGTCTCAAAAAACCTTTTTATGTCATGTAATTTAATTTTGACAAGTGTCAACTCAACTTAGAAAACTAAATACCAAGTCATGGATAAGTCAAACAGGTTTGAGTTCGTGAAAAATAATTGTTGTCTGTACCCCTAAAATTTAAGGGGATTTAGAAAGTTCAAGGGTAGGTTTGATCCAGAAGGATATGGACTGTGTATAATCCCAATACAATGTTTTGTTAAGGTGGCTAGTCATGTGTAAGAAATTTTTAAGCTGATTACAAACACTCCCTACAAATAGTAAAAACATCATCCTAATTGTTACTGGCTCTCTCTGTGATTTAAGACTTCTTTGCCAGGTCTCTGGACAGACTGTTCTATTTCAGTGTCACTCTTCCTCAAAAAGTAACCACCCTAATTACTAGAAAACATTGATTAATGAAAAATAAATGCTCTGGTTTGTGATGGTTATAAAGCAATAGTCAGTGATTAATAATTGATGGCATATGAAGCTACTAAGAAATTAATTATCCCCAAATGAAGAAATATAAGAAAGTTACTTGAATGTAATTTATTGTAGCAGTAGCCATTATTAGCCTAATCCCAAATTTTATTTTCAAAAACCCCAAAACAGGGCCAGGGATTCAGCTCAGTGGTTCCGTTCCACCACCTGCCTCGAAAATTCAAGGCCCCGAGTTCATCCCTGGTATCAAAGAAACAAACAAACAAACAAAAAACCCAAAACAAGACATGGAACCATGATTTGGGGAATCATTGTGAAACTTTTCTTTGCAAATCATTTTTGCTGTTGAGACAGGTCTCACTGTATAGTTTTGGGCTGGCTTTGAACTCTGAAGCAATCTCCTAGCCTCAGCTTCCCAAGTGCTGGGATTTCAGGTGTGCATCACCACACCCAGCTAAATCTTGTTTTATTGGAAGATTCCAATCACAGAGTATAAAGATCATCTACAAAAACCTGCCTCCTCCGTCTTGACTCTTCTGAAGATCTCCTTCATTTACATGCATCAATGCTACCAGCCAGCTTCTCCTTTGATACCTGTCTTTGTGTCCCTCTCTTTACCTGTACTTGAAAGAAGAGATTGGTAATTTATACCTGCTCCTTGAACCGCCTATCAGTGTCTGGCTCTTAGTCGGTGATCCTTATTAATTAAATGACTGAATCTTAAAAATCACTTCTAAAACTGAGCCAGGCATGGTGGCTCACACTTGTAATCCCAGCACTCGGGAGGCTGAAGCAGGAGGATCACTTCGAGTTCGAGGCCAGCCTGGACTACAAAATGAGTTTAAGGCCAGCCTGAACTGCAGAGTGAGGCCCTGTCTTGAAATAAATGAATAAATAAATAAATAAAACCAATAAGTGAGGTTAGCAGATATGAAGAAGCAAAGAAAGAAGCTCAGGCTGAGAAAAAAAACACTAATCTAGGGCCGGCGATTTAGCTCAGTGGTTTCGATGCCTGCTGCACAAGCGCAAGGACCCGAGTTCGATCTCTGGTACCAAAAAAATCACTAATCTGGCAGTTTTCAAATGCCTTTTAGCTTCCTTTCTTATAAACAAAAAGAGGCTGAAAATGGAAGTTACTGGCCTTTTTTTGAAAATTAGAGATTTAACCCCTGTAAATTAATTATTCCTCTTGACTCGCTCCTCTAAAACTATCATTTGGCTCTGTTAGGTTTTGTTCTTGATGCTTAGCATCTTCACTTAACTGATCCTTCCCATGGTGATTCCCTGAGGGGGTCCCATTTTGTTGGTCTGGTTGGAGTTGCTGCTGCTCTTTACCAAGAATTTCATGAATTTCCTTTTAGTTTCACCTTCTCACTGGAGTACTCCTTCTGGGTCCTTTCCCCCACCCCTCCTCTCCCAGTCTTACCTGTACGTTCTGCTGGAAAAGAACAGTGAGAAATTCTCAGATGGACGCTTTCACCTGCTTTTGGCTCTGAGCCTTTGAGCAGCGTCTGGGTGGGTTTCCCTGGTCAGCATCCTGAGAGCCAGACATCCTCAAACACTGAAACCAAGATCTTCGGGAGTTTCTTTGCCTTATTCTAATAGCTAGGCCTTTATAGTTTCCATGTTGGTTGCTTGAGATGAAGGTATGAAATGTATGTATTCTTTCCACCTCCTGCCCCGCAAGTACCTACAACCCGTCATCCTGGGCAGGCAGACTACAATCCTTATTCATACCAAGCATCCTTCTGTTGGAGCTAGACTTAGCTACATCAATTTCCTTTCCTATAAAGTGAAGATAATAAAAATTATCTCAGAAATAGGTCAGTGTAGGGCTGGGGATTTAGCTCAGTGACTCCACACCTGCCTCAAAAGCAGAAGGTCCTGAGTTTGATCCCCAGAACGAAAAGAAAAAGAAATAGGTCACTGCAAAGAATGTGGCATCTAACACCTATTTAATAAACCTTAGTTTGTTGTATTCAAAATCTTTACCTGCATAATCACATTCACTCTGTGCAGAACCTTGCAAGACAAACAGCACAAATATTGTATCCCTTGCCCCCCTCCTACCCTGTACTGAAGATTCAACCCAGTGCCTTTGTCCTTGTACTCAGCTACTCCCCAATCCTTGTTTCATTTTTTATTTTGAGGAAATGAAAGCATTTAAACAGAGTCCCACCGAAGTGGAGGTAGCACTAGGCTGTCACGTCTGCTAACCTTGAGAGAACTTTAATGGAAGAGTACATTGTTACATATCCTGGAGGACAGGGCACAGAGTATGACCAAAGTTCTGGCCCAGGCAGGGCACAGAGTCAGAGCTGTGTTGGCTTGGGATCCTGCACAGTGGAGAGCGTTCCTCCTTGCACTGTGTACTTCCAGAGACTCGAGTCTGGAGTGGGGAGGAATAGTGTTCCCCAAGTCCCCTGAGCTTGCACAGAGCAAGGCAGCTCACTGCATCACCTTTGTGTCACAGTTGTCAGTGAGTATTTCTAATCTCAAGGGAAAGGCCATGTGTTGGTTTTTTTAATTCATTTTTATACATCCTAGGTGGAACATGTACTAGGCCCTTAGTAAGTGTAAATTGGATGCATAAATCAGTCTAAACACAAATATGCTTGAATCTCAAAGGGATTTGGAGTTTACTTTTGTACTATAGTGAGCTAAATTCTATTTTTAAACTTCTTTTTGATGATAAATTACTCTAATGAAGATGGGGTAAAATAAGTAAATACTTTTAATTCTCTTACAGAAATTCTTGATATTCTTTACCTATTTTCATATTACCCACCCCCCTTTTTCAGGCAGGGTCTTGCTAATGTTGCCCAGGTTGGCCTCAAACTACAATTCTTCTGCCTCAGCCTCCCTAGTAGCTAGGATTACAGGTGGGAGCCACCATACTTGGTTAAAACTGCAAATAGTATAGCTTTTAAAAAATTGAATTTGTAGTTGCACATAGTGGTACACACTTGGAATCCCAGGTACTGGGAGGCAGGAGGATTGAAAGTTCTAGGCCAGCCTCAGCTACTTCAATGAAACCCTGTCTCAAAAAAAAATAAAAAGGGTTGGGGATATAACTCAGCATTCCTTGGGTTCAATTCCCAGTGCTGGCAAATAATAATAATAGGATTTGTAATTTAATGATAGCTATCCATCCACACTTGTTACAGTGTTTACCAGTGCATACAATCTGACAACTGTGAAGCCCCAATGAACTTTTGGCTTCTTATAAGTGGGTGCCATGTTCCTTCCTAGTTAACATTTGTTAGCAGCAGCGAAGTGTATTTCTTCTACCTTCTAGTCATCCCTGGAGATAAGTCATAAATAGCAATTGGAAATAAATTTAATCTGAAGTTTTGAAGGTAGTTTCACAGCTTTTAACATTTCATCCAGTGTTTTGGAATGGAAAAACTTTTTCTCTAGTTCAGTCCCTGTGCATATGCAATTAAACAAGAAAAAGATTTTTTTTTTTTAAGAAAGAGATTATTAACAAGAGACAAAATACAATTTTTGTTCTTACTTACAGGCAAGGAATACACAGAAAAAAAGAGTGAAACTCATCAGAGTGATTGGGTTTGGGGCTTACATGGCTTTTTAATAAATAAAAGAAGGTTTGCATTTGAAGAAATGATACATTATGGGTAGTGACTAAGAAATGAACAGAGGAGTTAATGAAGAGAAAGACCTATCATAGTAAGTTCTGCTTATGCAATGTCATCTTGGTGTCAACTCCCTGGCTTGACTTTCTGATGTTAAGTGACAAGAGTAGCTCCTCTCTCCTTTCCCTTTGTTGGGGTGAGGGGTGCCGTCTTCCTCAAACACACATTTATACCCAGATTTTAGGCAGCCCAAGGAAGATCAGAGAAGTCTTCTGCATCCCTTGATTTTCAGTCACTTTCAGTTCTAAATAATTCTTACATCAGCGTGCATATTTGGGGGAGGCATATTCTGATCCTTTTCAGGTGGAAAGCAAGGAATAATACAGCTGAACTGCCTCCAGGTTAGTTCTAGTTTTGTATTGCTTGTATTTTCCAACTTTTTTCCTCGAGTGCTGGGATTACAGGTATGTGCCACTACGCACAGCTAAGAAATATTTTTACCTAGGAATCTTTTAAACCGGGAACTGGGGGAGGCTGAGGCAGGAGGATCACCAGCTGTTTGCCCAGGGCATTCTGGGGGTACCTTCAGCCCTTCCAACCCTGGGTAGTGTAGGTGGGATTGGTGCGCTTCTATTTCCTCACCCTCCCTGTGGGGATGGAGCCCAAGTCTTCCAGACCAACTGCCAATAGTTGAGAGGTCAGATCCCAGGTTTAAACTGCAGCCCAACTGAGGAAGCCTTCTGGCTCCCTTACAGCTGTCTCTTCCCACATTACATCCAGGCTGCATGGAGCCTTCCTTCTATGCAGGTGCCCACAGGCAGAGGCCACACCTCCATCTGCTTGTACTGTGGCCTGCTGTGGGAGAAGTCCCTCCCAGCACTCTATCCTTCTGTCCTAGTGATCTGAAGACCCACCTGGTACACTAGAAGAAGCTATCCAGGTTGGGCCATCATGACCCACCTGCTGGCCTCCGAAGTACAGCAGCTACTCCACAACAAGTTTGTGGTCATCCTGGGAGACTCGGTGCAGAGGGCCGTGTACAAGGACCTGGTGCTTTTACTGCAGAAAGACTGCCTGCTCACTCCCAGGCAGCTCAAGGCCAGGGGGGAGATGAGCTTCGAGCAGGACACACTGATGAACGGAGGCCAGAAGGGCACCATGCACAATGGCACCCACTATCGTGAGGTGCGCCAGTTCTGCTCAGACCACCACCTGGTGCGCTTCTACTTCCTCACCCGCGTGTACTCCAAGTACCTGGAAGCCATCCTGAAGGAGCTGCAGGCTGGTGAGCACACCCCCGATGTGGTCATCATGAACTCCTGCCTCTGGGACATCTCCAGGTATGGCCAAGGCTCCTGGAAGAGGTACTTGCAAAACCTGGAGACCCTGTTTGAGCGTCTGGGCCAGGTACTGCCAGAATCTTGCCTCATGGTGTGGAACACAGCCATGCCTGTGGGCAACAAAATCACTGCGAGCTTCCTCCCTCGCAAGTGCTGGCCCTGGCCAGTCCCCCTGAAATACTTTGTCATTGAAGCCAACTTTTACAGCTCTACCAAAGCTGCCAGCCATGGCTTCGATGTGCTAGATTTGCATTTCCACTTCCGTCGTGCCATGGGGGGCCTGCAGATGGATGGGGTGCACTGGAATGAGCACACCCACCGCCAGCTCTCCTGCCTACTCCTGGCCCACGTGGCCGATGCCTGGGGCGTGGAGCTGCCCCTCAAGGCCCCACTAGAATTGCTGAGCCAAGGTGACCCTGCCAGGGAACAGCCTGGCCGAGGCATCAAGAGGCGGCCCCCTCCCTACCAAGATCCAAGGGCCTCACCTCCGTCCCCACCTTGGCCCCGGCCCCTGCTATGGTCCCCACCCTTTGCCTTGTCCCCACTCAGGCCCCAGCCGCCTCCACTCATGCCCAGACCACCTCCTCTCATTCCCCCTTATCAGGGGACACCCGAGTTCCCACTCCATCCCCAAGACCCCTATTTTTCCTCAGACCACATTTTCCAATCAGATCCATCCTATTTCCATTCAGACACCCCCTCAGCTACCCAGCCAGGATTTGCCTTTGAAATGGACTTTATGTTTGATCCCCAGCCCCCTATGTCCGGCTTCCCCTCACCCTGTTACCAGCAGCGGGACCCTGTGGTATACAAAGGTTTCCCCAGGTGTCTAGTTCAAGGCCCCTATATGCCCTGGAGAGCACAGCACCCCTATATGCCTCGGAGAGGGCGATCCAGACAATCAAACAGATGGGCCCGAGCCAAGGCCACCGTAGACTGACCTTGGCCTTTTTCTTCATGAACACCACTGAGGTCTGTCTGGCTGTTTCCCTTGGCACAGCCTGCACACACTGACCCCACCAACTTAAGCCCGTACACCTCATGCGTGGACCTCTTGCTCATTACTGTTACCAATAAAGGCCAGGAAGAGCATCCTGGCCCATTCTTGTTGCCTATCCTGTCTACCCCCAGAGGTGACAAAGCCTTATTCCTGCCTCCCGACTCCCTGTTCTCTTTGCTTTTTTGTAAAAGTAAAATTGAAATGCAGAAATTGTTTCACAAAAGTAATTGTGAGCTGTGTGTGTCCGTGAGTGTGATATTTAATGGATGCCTCGCTCTTTTCACAGTTAAACAGTTAGTAAGAGCAAGGACAGTATCTGCTGAGTGAACAGCTAGGGCATCTACTGGTAAACTATTCAAAATAGTTTGTCTCTCTTGAAGTTAAACTCTTGAAAAAAGTTTCCATAAATGAATCTAAAGCAAAAGAAATTTAACTTTTTGCGTTTCTATTTTCCAGAGATTCTCAAAGAATCATTGCAATTTAGGGATAAGAAAATGAAAGATATAAACAACCAACACTTTCAAACAAGGATACTGAAAGATGAATGACCCATTCTAGGTCACACAGAAAACCATTCCTTCACTAGTCTTTCCTAGGTTAGACTAGTTTCTGCTTCACGTTAATTCTCAAACCTCCAGACTTACACCACAGCAATATCAAACCAAGAAGGGAAGCCTACCAAACATGATCTTAGCTGTGAAAATGATCCCCAAAACTCCATAGCTCCATACCTGGGGGTCTGTTGGATAAATGTGTGATGAGTTATGTTATGAGTACGAGCTAGAGGGGATGGTGTCCTTCTGTCTTAACTGATTCCTTGCATGGCCCTGAATTTTTGACTCAAGAAAATTAGAGAAAAGTAAGTTGCACTTAATGACAATGTGAATCACCATCATAGAATAAAATTCCAAGTTGGTATTTCAGATCTCTTCTGCATCAGTTCTAACAGATGATCATGGTGGTTTACCTTTGTTCTGTAGGAATGGTGACATCATTAAGGCTGTTTAAACACTAGGTTTTTGTCACTTTTAGATTTTGGTAACATTAACCTTCAAAATGAGTCAGCTGCCTTCATTCTGGCTTTATAATTCCCAAGCAGTATTTAGCAGCTGATCTGAGTAAGCTGACAAATGTAGCATCTGTATTGCCAGAAATAAGCCAATAAATTGGTGTTCTGGTTGATATCTTTCTCATGAGTTAGGTTAGCAAGTTTTTTTAGGTTAGCAAGTTTTGATCCTCCTTAATCTGATCATGTCTAGTGGACCAAGGAGAATGAGCTCCGATAGACACAGTGGTGAAACCAGTCTGGAATCAGTGATAAGTCCGCAATTCTTTGTCTCGCGGGTGGGTAGGAGTGCAGATACATTTGGTCAGGGACAATTTTTCCCTTCACTAACATACTACTACTCATGGCTTCTGTAACAAATACTACAAACAGCACACATTTATTCTCTTATAGTTAAGGAGGTCAGAAATCTAAAATTTGTTACTCCAAAATAAAATCGTACAATGTCCTACCCCTTGTAAGTTTCTCCTTTGCAACTTTCTTCATTAATCTTTATGCTTTCAACCACATGGGACTTCTTCCAGTCCATGTAACATGTCATGCTCTTTTAGGGTCTTTGCACTTGATTTCCCTTTGTCTGGAATGTTCTACATCCCTACTTCCTAGTTCTCTGAGTATCTAACATTCTATCTTTCCAAGTCTCATCCTAAGAGGACTTCCATGACCATTCAGTCTAAAAGCACTATTATGAGCTATTCTAGCATCTTTGTTTCTGTCTGTGTTTCTCTCACTCAACAGTGTCTTCAGTAGTTGTTTGTTAGACTCCTTTCAAGGAGGAAAGCTCTGTGAGTCTTGTTCACTGTCGAATTCCCAGTGCCTACAACATAGTGGCTGCAAAGAGATAGTTAAATTTGCAAAAATAGAATTAATGCACAAGAACCAGCTTGTGATAAAATTGAGCATTGGATTCCTTTTCTCTAGAAAATATCTGCAGACCTCTGACTTTATTTAAGTAATCCTAGGTGACTGCCCCTCCCTGCTCACTGTGCCCAACCCCCATCCACTGCTGTTAAGAGCCTGATGGCACCTTCAGTGAATGCTTGCATTTAATTTCATTTATATCCTGGCCTTTATCTTCCAGCCGGGGGCTTTCTTCTTGGCCCATTTTTCCTATTATCACTTTGCTCCTTAAATCAGGAGACCTAGCAGTGTAATCAAGCTATTGTCTGATAAAAAGCCAAAATTATTCAGCATTTATGAAAGAAATTATTTCTCCATTGTTATGACTTAGAATCCAGTGCTCATTTGGCCTGTTCTTCGGCCTCCAAGAAATGACAGCACTTGGAGCTTTTCATACTTGACTCATTGTAGGGAACAGGGAAAGGGGACATTACTAGAACCTCTGCAGTAAGTCCTAGTCTCCTGCGAGCCATGGCAGCATAAGGTGAATTACAGGAAAGGTAGAAAAATGAGACTGAGAAGAAGCTGAGCTTTGGGTCTGATCAGTGCTGCTCTGGGCCGCAAAGACAAAAGACCCCAGCTTACCGCACCTTTTATTCAGTACTCAGTACGTCGTCGGGAGAAACAAATGTACCAAATGACTTGCTGAGAGTTCAGTACATCCGCGTAAACAAGATGTAACAATCCAAGAACAATGAGGAACTGAGTAGATGTTTGTTCCTCCCAGGATGTTTCTTGTCCTGGAGAATCACAGCATCACCGGATCATTGAGGTCTCCGTTGTGACCGGAGGCCAAAATGGAATTATGTCTCGGAATTCCATAGCTGGGCTGTAGGCAGGAGAAGTAGGCTAACCAAATGATTTTTCCCTAAAATTATGTAGCATTGCTCCCGACAACTCTTGTCTCGTTTTCTTGAAGAAGAAAGTAAAATTAATGATGAAACTGGCATTATCCAAGCAGTGTGTATTTCCCACAAGATTGTATAATATGCGGGAGACCCAAAGTGCAAAACTGTACTCACATTTTTCCATGAGTACAGAGAAAGCAAAGTTCAGCATTTAAAAACAAATGGAACCTTTCCTATGCTAGAGTACAGAGCCATCATAAGTCCCTCCAGTAGTCACCACAGAGCTCTGCGGGGAGGCAACAGTCACATTTAATGCTGGAGTTGTCCAAAGCAGTCCCTCTGCCCCTCATGCGCATAATTTTGCAGAGGTAAGTTGTTTTGAAAACAGCTTGGACAACATAGCCAGATGATGCCTTAAAAAAGAAAAAAGATCAGAAAAAGGATTTACCATTGTTTTAAGCTATTGCACATCAGTTTCTATAAACTAGAAACATTCTGAAGCCTGGGATTTAGCTCAGTGGCACCTCACCTACCTTGCAAAGTGCAAGGCCCAGAATTTAACATCCTATATGAGAAAAAAATAAAAATAAAAAAGAAACAACGTTCTCATCCTCACAGCTTCCTGAAAGTTTTCTACTCTTGCATACTTAATTCATATAGTTTTTCTACAACTTTACCTCTTAAACTTCAAAGACTCATTTCCTGAAGCAGCCCTTTGATCCATAATCTTTTCTCCATATGCATACTATAGACACCACGTTTGCAAAATGATTCATGTGGAAATTCACAATGACTTTTTCTTGGTTCTTTTTAATTTTTTTTTCTTTTTAAATTTTTTTTTCCTACATAATGACTTTTAACAGATCAGAAGCTCTGGGAAGGTCTGCTGGAAATAAACTTGATTAAATGTGCTTAAATTAACCTAGAATCTGCTATTTTACTTAGACACAGAATCATTTTCTGCCTATGAACCCTAGGCTGGACTCAAACTTTTGATCCTCCTATCTCAGCCTCCTGAGTGCTGGGATTACTGGAGGGTGCCACCACCCACCTACTAGAATCACTTTCATTTGTAGATCTTTTAAAGACATTTTGGGGAAATTCTGTTCTAAAGAATAACAGATAAAAGGTGAAGGTAAGTGAAGAGGGTTTTTTTTTTAAGTCTTAGGAGTGATGATTTATATAGTAAGCCCATTTCTAAGATAGCATGTAATAATGTTTGCCTGGTTATGGACTGTTTCTTAGGTAAGCTTGAGCTGAGCATAGAGGAAGAGGTAGTTAGCTGTAAAGGGATGAAAAGGATGGGGTAATGATTTCCTCTCTTCTGGAGTGGGAGTACTGGGATAGCCAGCCTTGATAATAAATTCCTTCTCAGGTGCCCTTTATCGTATTGCAACCATGATGCCTTTGATACTGTGGCCGATATGCGGCTTCTTGAACTTGGTGTCTTATCTTCACTTCTCATTCCTGTGTCACAATAGCTTGTGCTGACTTTTGGCCAGCAGTGTTTGATCTTATATTTTGTCTCAGCAATCATGTCACAACCAAATTGATCTCCTAGCATCCACTCTAAGCCTTGCCACACAGTGCCTCAGACAGTGGTTCTCAACTTTATTTAGGGATCATGTAGGCCTCTGGGGGAGGGAGGGCTTACTAAAGCACCATTGCTGCAACCCCTCCACGCCCAGGTCTCAGTTATGTCCAGAGTAGGGCCTAGAATGCACATCTCTAGAAGTTCTCACATGATGAAGTCCATGCTTTGAAAACCACTATTGTAAGGTTTTTTTTACCTAAAACTATAAAAGTATTCAACCGGTGCTAACTTTTTGCCATATTACATCTTTTTTTTTGTTGAAATTTGTTTATTTTTGTGATACTGGGCATTGAACCCTGGGCCTTCACACTCAGGTATATTCCCAGCCGGGGTTTTTTTGTGTTTTTTGGGGGGTTTTTTGTATTTTAATTTGAGACAAGTTCTGACTAAGTCACTAAGTTCCCCAGGCTGATCTTAGATTGTGATCCTTCTGCCTCAGCCTCCCAAAGTGCTGGGATTACAGGTGTGTGCCACCATACCCAGCTTTGTTTTAAATATTTTAAAGTAGTGATTTTGTAATATTTCGTTCCTGATTATTAGGAAATAAGGACATTTTCCTACATAACCAAAAGGTTGGTATTACATCAATTATTGACATAACTTGCTGATGTCATCTGATATCCAATCCCAAAAATGTTTTATAGAACTATTCAAACTAGGATGCCCTAAGGAATCACTCATTGCTTTGGTTATAGCTACAGAAATCTCTTAATCCAGAAGGCATACAATTCATTGTCTTTCCTTCACGTCACTGATTTGTTGAAAAGACTTGTCCAATAGAATATCCCACTTTTAGAGTCTAATTTCTTCATGGTTATCAGTTAACTTTTACTTTACCCTTAGGTTTCCTATAATGTGAATGTTAGCTCCAAAGACTTGAGTAAATTCAAATGAGACATTTTTGGTAGAATACTTCATAGCTGAAATATTATACTTTACATTATACCATAGCAGGAGACCCATTGGCTGGTTTCCCCTGTATTCAATGCTAATCTTGGTCACCAAGTAAAAGCAGAGACAGATGGAAGCCTCCTATTTAAAGTTATGTTTCCCAGCACATGTCCTATGGAGAATCTATTGGAACCATGTAACTATTCCAACTCTTCATAAGTCTTTCCTGTAATGGTTTTAGCTCCAATTGGTGATGCTTTCTTGAAGCATGGATTTCATTTGTGGTAGAAAAGTGGTAATTTTTTCATTTTGCCATTTCTTGAATGTTTCTTAGCTGGCATTCTTTTGTAAAGAATTCACCCCTCCCCTCTCCCCTATCAGCCAAGGCTTTCTGGTTACCCTGAGACACACAGAAAAATCTGCCAACCAGGAAGTATGACAATGGTTGCTATTGGACTCCCCCTTCCAATTACCTGGTGCTTCACCAACAAGGACCCCAACACAAGGCAAGAGATGTGACACTGGTAATCGGCTATGTGGTCCTG